CAAAGCAATGTGTGCGCAACAAATGCGTACACGTGTAAAAATGTGTGGTTGCTATGAAGAACTAAAAGCGGCAAAACCAAAGAATTCCAGAAGGAAGGAAACAAAGAAAGAAAGAAAGAAAGAAAGAAAGAAAGAAAGAACAAAAGAACAAAAGAAAGTAAGAAAGAAAGAAAGAACAAAAGAAAGAAAGAACAAAAGAAAGTAAGAAAGAAAGAAAGAATAATAAGAGTAAAAAATATATTTAAAAAAAAAATGAAGGAATGAAGTACAGAAAAAAATAAAATAAAAAAAGAAAGAAAGCAAGAACGAAATAACTAAGAAAGAAATAACTAAAGAAAAAAGAAACAAAGAAGAAAAAAGAAGAAGAAACAAATAAAGCAAGACAGAAAAAAACTAAAGAAAGAAAGAACTAAAGAAAGAAAGAAAGAAAGAAAGAAAGAAAGAAAGAAAGAAAGCAAGAAAGAAACAAAGAAAAAGAAAGAAACAAAGAAGAAGAAAAAAAATAGAAAGAGAGAATGAAAGAAAGGTCGAAAGAGAGAATGACAGAAAGCAAGAAAGGTAGCAAGAGAGAATGAAAGAAGGAAAGAAAGAAAAAAGGAAGACACACAAAAACAAAGAAAGAGATCGACAGAGAGAGACAGAGAGAGAGAGAGAAATAGAGATCTGCATGTGGCACTTCAAAACGGCGCTCGACCTGTCCAATCCACTGCGGCTCGGCAGCATTCGAGCGCAGTGGGAGGTTGACGGCGGCGGCCTGCAAGGGGAGCAAACTGCAGTCCTCGACTTCATAACAAAACCGAGCATCTGAGCGTTTTTGTATTACACCCTGGGATTACACCCTTGAGAAATGACCCAGAATGGCTCAAAATAACACGGTTTTATCCGGAAAGCAGGCTCCTTCCCCCCAATTGTGATTGCCCACAGTTCAGGGCGGTACTCGGACACATTACTTTACATTACAATTCAGTACGGTGAACATCAGAGACAATAGGAATGTCCGCCACCACATTAAACGTGTGGTGTCCTGAAATCCCCTGCTAAGAGTTGATTTTGTTTCGTGGTTTAGTGCAACCACTAAACCAACTAAAATCCTAAGAACCCAAGAACCCACACCGGACGCTTCGCGAGCGAATCGCCAAGATGCATGTCATGGAGTTCCCGCGCGCTCACCGAACCGGGCACCGGCACGGGCGGGGGTGATGAAAAGGCGGTGGGTCAAATCCACATCGTACCCCCAGAGAACATCCCAATCCAACCACTAAAATAGGTTCTAAAATGGGTGGTGAATTCACCTACCCCAAAATGGAATCCCATTGGTTTTGACCCACAGCCATTTATGGCGAGGATTCTCCCTTTCTACCCTCAAATTATCCGGATTTCGATTGTGGCTCACCTGCGATTTGGTCTCACCTCCTCTTCTCGCCGAAGGATCCCTGACCTCACATCTCACCTTGACGAGGCAATTGCTCCTGCCCTAGAACACCACTTTTCGCCTGCCATGGAGGACATACGAAACATTGGCCGACCCACAAAGAGTGCCCCGCCTGACCCTGACTGCGCATGCCTGGTGCCTCAAGGCCGCGAGAAGCGCCGCAAGGTGAGGCAAGAGGCAATCTGTCGGGAACCCCCACGTTTGTGAGGCCATGGCTATGAAAGTTCATGGGGAACCAGGCAACCCCCTCAACAATATCTTATATATTTGGTCGGACATGAATTCTCACCTTAATGATGTCCACCAAAGGACCACTTAATCAATCTGCGTGCTGAAATGGGACCAGACCACTGGGTGGCTGGATTTTGTCATGGGTTCTCCTCTTACTCAAGGGTCTCCCTTCTCACTCACACTCCAGCAATTCAATCTTGCTTGTCCCCACCCCCCCCACCCCCAACACCCCATCCCCCGCCCAACCAACACGTTGACCACAAGCGGTTCATTCTGCGAGTCTCCGAGCAAAGCTTCTCGCACCGAGGCGCTGCCCCCGGCTCCCGCTCGTCCTTGATCCAGGAGCCCTGAAGATCGATCCCGCGCTTCCCCAACCGGCGGCCCAGCGGCAAAAACGGGATGGACCCCCTCGCTTCGGAGGCGACTAGTCCCCTCATGACACTTGCTTCGATAGGAATGAGAAAGGGAATGACCCCGAGATAAAACATAGACTTCCTTTGGACTTGTTTGGGAATCCCAAAAAAAACGTTCCTTCCCAACACCCGGAAGGTCATTCCTACCGAACGCCAGCAAGTTGAAAAGGAAGCCAACAAACCAAACAATTGGAGGTGTGCGTTTCCAGTTGGAGATTCCTTCCAGGCATTTAAATGAAGAAGAAGAAGAAACAAAACGTGTGTGATACGGTTTGCCCCATGCCCGGGATGGCAAGGACGACAATAGTCGTTGGTGAGAAACACGACAATCCGGTGCCAGGGGATCAACAAAAAAACGGCTTGTGGTTAGCCATTGAACGTCCGAACCATCAAGCACGACTTTCCTTCGCGAAGCTCCGACCAATTTGACGAAAGCTCGCCGTGCCTTGTACGGACCTGCTTGCAGGCTCGCCTTGTGAGCCTGACTCAGGCGTGTCTGCACAGCGGGGTTCCAAAAACACTCATCTGAAGTGGGTTGTCTTAAAATCGGGGAACCCCCAAAAGGGGTGGTGTCCCTTTCCCCGTTTCGAAACGGGCAACTACCCCTAAAAGGAAACCATGTGCACCGACCTGAAACCTGTGACAGGCATCATAAATCAAGTGGCATCTTCCAAATTGCCCGGGCTCAAAGGGATCCTCGTTTTCAATCGGCGCCTTTTTGGGGGTTGGTTGAAATGAGTCACAATCAAAACCCGGGAGTAAAATGGTCTACCCAGAATCATGTAAAGAATTAAGAAGGCGGCCGCAACTCTTTCTGGCTGCCTTCAGCCCCTTACTAACCTTCATCCACCCGGGTTTTGATTGTGGCTTAAAATGGGGACGGCCCTGTCGCTAGCGCCGAGACATTTGAACTCCGGGCCTTCCGGTTCCTCACCAGCAGCTCTGCTATGCCCTGGAGCGTTTCAGCAGCGAGCCTGCGGGTTGCACGGCCGCGATACGCGCGAAACGGGAGCCCTCTTGGGGTTCACCAAGAAGCGCCCCTTGAAACATAGGGAGCCCGCTATTCATCCAAGCATATACTCCATCACTCTTCAAAACACACCAGAAAAGTAGCCACCGATCAACTTTCAACATCTATACCCCTTGCTACTGGCATAGCCTTCAGCCGCGCACGAATCCAACGGGGCAAATGAAACCGGAAAGGGGAAGCCTCAGAAAAGGCGAAGCCTTCCTGCGCGAAAACGTGCTGCGGGTCCCGCTCCGCGCTGAGCCCGATCATTTTTTTAGCCCAGATCCCACGGGTGTGCCTGCAGCCCGTGAGCTGGCAGTCGTACAAGCCGGAAGTCGCGCGGATGTTCTGCAGCAGCACCTGGCACGCTTTGGCCCATCGGATGCGGCGATGGCAATTTGCGGTGTTCCTCACTTGGAAACAAACACATTTCTCACTAAACCATGTCAGAGCAAATGAATTAGATCTTTGCCCTCCTCAAGAAAACAGCCTTGATTGCGGACTGATTTGTCACACAATCACTGATCCAAAGTGGCCGCGATGTCTTAGCTGCAACAAGAACTGCAAAAAGAGGCTGCCCTATCTTTACGTCGACCAGCCCCAGCCTCGATCACGCGACAAGCATGAAACAGGACCACAACCTGTAAGAGGTTCAACAATCCCCAAATCACGCAGGCTCGTCTTGTTTTGAGGGTTCTCTTGTGGTTTCAAAGCAAAACCTTAATCAAGATGTCGGGCCAGCCAGCGCGCCTGCCCACCAGAGGCCCCCAGCGAGTTCCAGGAGAGCTCTAGATGAGAAAGCCCACCATTGCCCTGCGCTGGCTGGAAGTTGTTCAAAGCCCATAAAATGCAGTGCCCTTTTGGTGCCCTTTTGGTGCCCTTTGTTCACTCAAAGTCCAAAGACAGGTCCCCATAAAATAAAACGGGCGTCCTTTTGACTTCAACAAGCCTAGAAAGGGGTCCCAAAGAACTGGCTTGCTTGTGGGTCAGAGCACTGCCCCCGATCTAAAGCAAACTGACCCCTCCCACACTCATCTTGCGCAGCTTGCAAAGCAGCTCACAGCTCACATGGCTATGATTTTAACTCGAAACCCTGCGACATTTATTTACACGGGCATTTATGTCCACCAACCACTCTGGGCAAGCCCATCGTTTACAAAGGGATTTCTGCCACCAACCACTTTAAAACGCCCCCTCGCGTCCTGCAGGATGGACGCAACATGACCGGCTGCAGATTCCCCGCTGAGGCCGCAATACCTGAGATCCAGGTGCCTGGCGGCGCACACAGGTCGTCACCGCGGGTATGGTTTCGTCAAAAGTCAACCACCAGTACCACAGGTGAAATCGTCCTTTCCATTTCCCAGGGCAAGCCATGATGGTACCCTCTTTTTGGCCCACACCCACGCAACTCGTGGAAACATCGGATCGCAACCGCGTCTCGGACATCTCGGGCCGTTTCCAAAATCAACACAGCTTTTCAGTCTCCGACTTCTGCCACAGCCTTCCTTCGGTCTTTCAACTTGACGCGCGCAAAAGGAGTTCCAACCCGAAGCTCACCCCCGCGCCGCGCGCCGTGCGATCGCGCAGGTTTCAAAGGCAAGCGTAGCCTCTGGGCACAAATCTGACTTGGGGAAGTCTTGCGGACATTTCGGGGATTCATGGACCTCCCAGGTTTCCCTCTACCATCGATCAAAATAATGGAAACCAACTCCGAAAGAAAAATCTGGGCTACTTCTCAGATCCCCAAACGAAATGGCCATGGGTCAGAATCCAAACCGTACCCCCAGTGAACATCCCAATCCCCACTAAAATAGGTTCTAAAATGGGTGGTGAAATCACCTACTCCAAAATGGGATCCCCTTGGTTTTGAGCCGCAGCCAAATGGACGACCCCCTCAATTACTGGACTCTCGTGCCTCAAAGAAGAGCTGCTGCGCGCCGCTTGGCAGAGCGCCGCCAAGCCCTCCTGGCTGTCCGCACCGAGGCCAAGGGATCGATCGCGCGTGCGTAGATGGATCGCGCGAATCGGCGTGGTGCTGAAAGGGGCGATCCCTTCGGTACGTCGCTGGCCTCATTATTTTACCATGATCAAAGTCACCCCCTAAGTAGTGGGTTAAAGGGAAACAATCCCATTTACTGACTTTGATAGCCCCCAACAACCGTCAAAATAATGACCCAGCGTCAGGCAAGTGGTCAGGCCTGGTGAAATCACGAGTCTCCGTTCAGGTTGTACGAGGCTTGCTAACCACTTACCTGACGTACCGCATCGATCGCCCCTTTCAGTATCCTGTTTTGTGGTTTTTGAAGAGAACCCAAGAGGTTTACCCAAGAAAAAGCCATGCCGGGTCCAACATGTCCGAAAACCATGTGAAAAAAGGGCGCCCTCAAATGGATGTCGACATCCGGACAGCCAAAGATCCCAGGCCAAGGCTTCGGTGAATTTTGGTCGCAGGTCCATGAGAAGTCCTCCCTACCGTAGAGCGTGGTGACCAGTAGATCTGGGGTTTCTCATTCAGGAAAGAATCCGGGACCCTTTTGGCGGCAAGGGGAAAAAAGAACACATGGGTGTCTCTTTCTGTTGGGTACCCGTGGGTCCCCCAAAAAAAAGGCAGATCTATCACACGCCCCTGTCTTTGAGTTACACCATACTCGTTGGCGTCGGAACCAAAAAATGAAGGCAGCGAGTCCACCTCCCCGGCAGGGCCAGCGGTCAGGTCGTTGTGGCGAAGCACCAGGCTCTCCAACGTGAGGCTACACCTCGGAAACATGCCGAGCTCTGGAACTCCCGAAGACTTGGGGGGCCCGAACAAAAAAGCAAAAACCTACTCGTAATTCCTTCTTGTTTAGGTTGACCACAGGCATATTCAGGTTCTTGGAGTCGCCCCTCCTTCAAAACAGGACTGGACTCCAAAGTCCCATGCCATGCGCGAGCCGAGGGCGGCACCGCAAGGCCTCCGCAACGTGAAGTACGCCGGTGGACCTCAGGCTCTGCCATCAGATGCCTTCTGCCTGGTGTCCCTTTTTCTTTTTCTTCTTTTTCGGGGGGTTTCCCCGAAGCATGGCGGCTGCGGTGGTTCTTTTTGGTGTCCCTACGCCCGGAAGCGTCTCTTCGGGGTGAGCTCGGCTCACGGCGTGACGTTACAGCCAGTCAAATCCAGCAGCCGCAAATGCGGACCTCAAGGCTCGGGCAAGCGGCAACGGCAACACGCTCAACCATGATTCATGTGGACCCCGGATTTTCTGTAAAAAAAAAAACTGCTTATTCAAGGGGGGGGGGTGTTCCCCTCCAAAAGTGATGGAAGCCCCGCTAAAACCGGGGACGCCCCCGGTTGAAATGAACAGGGATTCATGAAGCTGGGGTGAACATGGAAACAACGTTTCTTTCTGTTTTCCCTTCAAAGAAATCCATGCTTTGCTCCTTCAATCAATCCCAACCTTGCCCAGAATTGAAAGCAGCCCTTGCGCCCTCGGGGGGGAAAAAGGCCAACCGCCAACCGGACGAAGACTTGAGTCCACAACTTCTGCTCGCAAACTCCGCCACTTCTTGCGCACCTCCCGCTGCGAGTCGACTCGCGAAGCATCACGTCCACTCTAACAAAAGGAGGCCATCCCCAACTAGAAGACATCCCCTAATGCTTCTGTGTGGATTTTGCATCATTCGTTTTCTACCGAAAAGGAAACCATGAAACAAGAGCTAAACGTAAACGGGGCGGATGTGGCCAGGATGCGGCCATCCGGTTGAGTTCCCGCCTGAGTCCCCAATCTTCGCATGGGCAAGCACCAGTGTTGGCGAGGACTCCTGAGGCAGAAGAAAGATAGCATCCGGTCCGAAGATAGTTTCCGCCACACCCAAATCCCCCCATCCCCCCCCCCAAAAAAAAAAGAACACCCACGCCCCCCTCTATCGGGCGGGTATGGGGTTTAACTAGATGTGTAACTACTATATCGGATACTATATCGCCACAAGACAAAGGGTTTCTACTCTATTTTCTGCTGGAAACTTGGAGATGGAAACCATCTTAGTTGGTACATCTGGTCAAGTGACTTTCAACCACCGAAAGACTGGATTGCCATGGCGTCCACAACCCTCGGAAAGTCCATCCTACGCTGTTCCCAGAGAAACCTAAAAAATATGTCAGGTTCTATGTGCGGCGCTTGCAATGTGGAAACTCTGCCTCCCTTCACTCAAATAGAATTCCTGGTAGCTTGAAACCCATGCGTTTCTGTATTTCTCCGCAAGAACAAGGGCCAACCACCAAGAGAATAAAGCACCAATGTTGTCCGAGAGAAAATGCCCAGCGGCCGCCCCGAAAAGCAAAACCCACGTAGCTCGCTTGCTTGCGACTCAGTGGAATCCGCTCCTGCGCCTTCAGGAAGGTGCTATACAACCTGCAAGACTGGCGTGGGACCCAAAAGCAAATGAAAACCATTTCTGTGTGTGTGGGACGGCCTGCGTGCTGGCTGCCAACCGGCGTCCCCCACTGGAGCAACCAGGGGTTCATTGTTGTCTGGGCTGGGAAACATGTATGCAGTCAAAACAATCGATGTCTGTTTCACTAGTAGAAGTGAACAATCCTTCGGACTGAAAAGCCCGTCAGAAAGGTTTCACGAGGAAGCAGTTCAAAACAGAGGCCCAGAAAAAAAAAAAAAAACATATTGTATTTGAAGGTGTCTGGCAACCGTGGCAACCTTGAACGCTAATGTTTAGTACAAGACGCACAGCAGCACCCTGCAAGAGCACCCAGCAAGAGCACCCTACACAATCTCAGACCCGCGCCAACAGTACGCTGCAGCAGCTTCCTCCAACAGCACCCTCTTGCAGCACCCCACACAACAGCACCCTGCACAACAGCACCACTGCAACATCGACCGAGAGCTTCCTCTCCAGCAGCCTTACAACCCGCATCACCCTGCAACAGCCTCAGTCACATTCGCATTCGCGCGCCCTGCAACAGCATGCAGCACCCTCTGCACAATAGCACCTGCGAGAAGTTTGCGTCACACTCTGCGTTCTCTCCTGAAAGGTTTCGGCAATCGGGATTGGGCGGTCTCCACATAAATTGTCGGGCAGACGGTGGGATGCATCCCAAAGCAAGCGAAAAGCCGCAAAGGGCTTGATGGCAAAAAAGAGGGCCTCATTCTGACTCATTGCTCTCTGTGCTCAGGCTTCTGGGACATGCACAATCCTGTCTCCGCGTGTCAGCCCCAGCTGGGGCCTTTTGTTTTCCGGGACCCAGTTTGGTTCCCGCCTGGGCGAAGACGGGCTGGTCGGGGTTCTGAGGCCCATGCCAAAGAGAAGCAAAGAGATGACTCAAACAGCAGCGCTGCGACAGGTCCCTTCTCTCTGATTGTCACGGCGCGAGTTGGAATGTCAATGTGTCAAGGAGAGCTTGCATGTTGCTTGAGGGCCTGGTTTGTCCAGGATTGAGAAAGCCACAGCTGCAAACGACCATGCACTTATCAGTCACTGTCTTGCAAGCCACCTGACGTCACACATGACTGCACGGCCATCTATACTTGCGAAGCCCATTTTGCACGGCTCTGTAGCGCATACATCTCAGCGAATCTGCTTGCAGACTCTGCTGTTCATGTCGATGTTGCCTGCAGGGCAATGCTCCGAGATTGGCTCAACTGATTTACTAGATGTGGTTCATTCAAAGCATATGGCTGTGATGTTTGATCGGAACGACCTGCTCAAAAGTGGTTGGCGGACATGAATCCCCACCTACATCATGTCCACCAAGGGGTCCCGTAGTCATTCTGATTAATACACCTATGGCAGCTTCAAGTTGGCTGAGCTCCGATTTAACAGGCCTTAGAAGTGCTGGCTCCGCCTCCCTTTGACTGAGACTCACCAAAAAGAGTCGAGCGGCATTTGTTTGCCGCGATGGTGGCAGAGACGCTGCCGTAGGTCCGCTCGGTGAAATAGCAAGTGTATTGGATGCCATGAAACTCCACAATTGTCTGCTCACAGTCCTAGCATCGGTTGCGAGTCAAGGGGACCTCCATAAAAAGACACACCGACACGCATTAATCTGAAGCTGCCTGTTTGTTCACGGTGATTGGGCAAGATGCCGACAATGTCAATGCACTGCAATCCACAAGCTGGCTCTCCTCGAGTCGCTCGGTGCAATAAATTGAAAACTATGAAACGTCAAACAAAACGCACAGGCACTGCAAGCACCATCAGCACAATGAAAGCATTGCAAGCAGATTCAAGATTAAATCGAGTTGCATCAGCCACAGGCGTAAAGGAAGTCTGCACTCCTTGGAAGGTCAATGGCACTCTTGGGCTTCAACACGCACCAAAAAAGACTCAGTTTCCTGTTTTACCACAAGGATTGTGAAAACCCGTGGACTTTCGACAGGGTTCAAAGCATTCTGTTCTGTAACATATGTGTGCGTGTACCTGCCCATACCTATACAACGCTATTTTATCCCCCTCGGTTTTCCGGTGAAGTCCCGGGCGTGTAAGCACGTGCCGAAACGAAGATCGCAAGCCGAGAGATTGGCTGGGGGCCCAGTTTTCGGGATAGGCGGTCTGTGAGCCATACAAAGTAAGGCACTGCTGCTCCGGATTGAGCTGCAAACAAGAAATCCTCGAAGCTAAATCATGCGCAGCATTTAAAGCTTGAGGGCGATTGTAGAGGTTTGGGCTCCAGATCCATCTGCATAAGTACATTGCTGTTCATTGGAAAAAACGTGTTCTCCACCCATTTTATGTGCCTGTGTATGAGTGTGCATGTATGTATGTATGTATGTATGTATGTATGTATGTATGTATGTATGTATGTATGTATGTATGTATGTATGTATGTATGTATGTATGTATGTATGTATGTATGTATGTATGTATGTATGTATGTAGGTAGGTAGGTAGGTAGGTAGGTAGGTAGGTAGGTAGGTATGTAGGCAGGCAGGTGTGTGCGTGTTTTTACCTACCGCACCGCCAAAAACGAAGCCCGGCGTCTTGCCAAATGGGCCGTCCGGCTTCCAAAGGCGCTCTCGCGCCGAAGCTCACCTGACGGTGCCAACTACCCCAAGGCAGACTTGAACCCAGCGGTGGTCGGTTCCAAACCAAGGGAAAACTCCTGGGTTTACGTCTACCCCGAGGTTGTCCGGAAAAATTCTGGAACCCTGGAAGAAAAAATAACACTTCAAAAAAATTGAACCTCCGAAAGTTCGCCAGTTTGGTTGCTTGGGACACCCTCACAACTTGCTACCAGTTTCTCAACCAACATCAACACGACCTACGCCTCAACCCGCTTGTCACTGCAGTGCGCACGCCTCCCCAGGCCAGCTGGCAAGCCAATAGGAGCAAGCACCACATGCGGCCACATATCATGTATTTCACACGTAACTTGAAAAGCTGCGGGCGTCTTCAAGCATAGGTGTGCGTTGAGTGCCATGAAAACAGTGCGCCCATGCCGAAGCTCGCTGAATGGGGGTTGATCTTTTTTTTTGTTCCGGCCCCAAATGACCACGTAACTTTGTCCAGTTTTTGGGAAACATCAAATATATCTAGCGGTTTTCCAACCAATAATCATCCCATCATCGGCCCTTTGGATCAACCCCCATATCAGCTTCTCTCTCTACTCGGTGACTTGGATTCGTGGTGAGGTGTTCCGGGGGTGGTTTCCCATGCCCTGCAAGAGCCAGAGCTTCAAACCCCCAGTCACCAATCCAAACCATTGGATCAGCCCCCAAAGGCGACCTGCTTTTCTCATCCAGCGCAAAGGGCAGCGCCGAGCTCCTTCTCTGGGCCGAGTTTTCGATTCCCAGCTCCCGACACACGGCCCTGGCGCGGCCTTTGCCCAAGGCGGCCCGGAGCGCGAGGAGCGTGATGTGGTTCACCTCGAAGCCCTCCCGCACGATGCGCTGAAACCGCTCCAAAGCCGCCGCCTCCGCCGGAGAAGGGGACGGAGTCGACGTCTTTCGTTTCGCCGCGCAGGCTTTCAGGAAGGTGTTGTGAAGCACCAAGCTAAGCGGTCCCACCTGGTCCTGATACTGCTGGAGCCAAAATCTCACGCCTTCGAGGTCACCAAGCGATGCCCTGCCATTGGCCAGAATCCCAAAGGTTGCTTGTCCAGGTGGACATCCTGCTTCACGCATCTTCAGATACCACTGCTCAGCTTCCTGGATCTGGCCTGCTTCCACGCATGCCTTCATCATCACATTGTACTCCATCTGACCAGCAGCTGCCGACCTTGATGAAGCATGAAACCACCATTCAGTCCTCTGCACGTCACCCGATGTGGCTGAAGCATTCATCAACATTCTCAGTGTTTGTAGGTCGAGCTCGAATCCTGCTTCTGCCATCTTTGAGTACCAAAACTCCGCCCTTGGCACGTCTCCACTCTTCGCACAAACATCGATCAAGCTTTTAAAGGTCACAGCGCTCGCTTCCACCGTAGCCTGTCTCATGATCTCCAAAACACTTTCCGCTTTCTTCACTGCATTGCTTTTAGAGCCCACGCAAGCCGTAATCGCCGAATTGAAGCTGATGACATCCGGGGAAAGGCCGCGGCGGGTCATGTTGTACAATGTCAAGATCGCACGATCTGCCGCTCGGGCTCTCGTGCAAGATTTGATAACAGCGTTGTAGCAGGCCGTGTTCAAGACGCTGCCAGTTTCCAGCCAGGACTCTGCCGCCTCAAAGGATTTCGCTTCTGCACATGCATTGATGACCGCCGAGTAGTTGTACGCGTTGGGTTCCAGCTGGTGACGCCTCATAGTTGTTAATAGTTGAGAAGCTTTTGACACTTGCTGAGCACGTGCACAAGCATCAATGCTGCTCTGGAAGCATTGATTATCAACCTGCAAATTGTTGTTCAGCATCATGTCCAGCCAGGCGATTGCCTTGTCCACTTGCCCCTGTCTTCCCCAGCCAGTCATCAAAACAGTGGATGCTGCTTTATAGACTGAAGCGTCGGATCCGGCATGCATCAAGCTCAGCTTTGCCCATTCTTCTGCCAGCTCCATATGATCAGCTTCAGTACACTTGGCAATCCGACTGCTCCATATATACGGCCTCTCCTGACTTTTACGGGCTGTTGCCAACACTGCTTGAATCGGGGCAAAATCTGCAGCATGCAGACGAAGACCCCTCTCCAAGGCAGCCTCAAGCCACCACTCAGCCTGGTGGTAGGAGTACGGGGACCGCAGGAAAGCTCGGCACAAGCACGCGACCACGCTGGACGGCGCCGTGCCCTCCTGGAGCCACTGAGTCAGCCAAGCTTCCGCCTTGGGCACTTGCGTCTCACAAAGGAGCTTCACCAAGCGCGCCCGGAGCCTCTGGAGCCTCTGGAGCCTTTGGCGCCTTCCGAGCCGCCACAGCACCTCGAGCATGCGCTCCGCCTGCAGCAGCTGCCCAGCGTCCAGTGCGACCTCCGCGACTTTCGCGCACGCCTCGCCCAGGAACTCGCCGAAAACCGCGGGCTGAGTGGCGAAAAGCAGCTCCAGCAAGGCCTCCGCCTGCAGCAGGCCACGTAAACTCTGCCTGGCCGTGTCCACCAGCGCCTGCACCGCAGCGTGGGGCAGCCGAGAAAAACCAGCTTGTACCATTGGCAAGAGGCAAAGCAGCGCCATATCTGGCTGGCTTCTCTCCAGGAAAAGCTGCATCTTCTGAGAGCAGCTTTGGAAGTTTCGCAGTGGCCATACGCTGAGACTTGGTTCTGCTCTAGCAGGAAATTGAGGAGCCCACAGCACATCGGATGGGGCCTTCGCTCTTCTCTCACGGACGCCTTGAGGTGTGCCAGCTTGTTCTGAAACCTTGGCCAAGATTGTGGGACGAAGGCTAAACTCTTGCATTCGCTGCAGCCACTCTTCAGCTTTCTTCGCATCGGTGCGAGAATACACCTGCAGAATCCTCTGAGCCGTGCCAATGTCCATCTCTGAATTCCTTTGAGATCTGCACGAGCTTCTGCGCCTGCAACCCCAGCTACACAGCCGGACAAACGCGATCATCGCGACCGGCCGCTGGCCGATTCGGCTACAAAACCTCGTGCCGAACAACTTCTGGCCGCGCACTTCGCACGCCTGTGTGGTGCCCAAGTGCATTCCATGGCAGGAGTCATGGCGAGTTAGGCAAACAGAGCACCGGTTGGCGAAGTGTCCCTCGGGCACCATCACTTTGGCAAACTTGGGCCAATTGCAATTTGCAGACTAGCCGGCGAACTGACACAACGCGGTGGCTTAACCCCAGCTGACCAGAAATCGGGTCGAAAATTCTAGTCGGATGCTCCCTGAAAGCAAGTAAAGCGTACCGTAAAGCGGCACTCGTGTCATTTTCCCCCGAGTCGCTTCGAGGCCCGGGGGTCCGGTTATGCCAGCGAGTGCAAGTTGGCACTTGCTCAGGCAGCTATGTACAAGGAGAGCATGGTGAGACGCAAAACGGGCTGTCTGCCCGGGGCTTGATGACGCCAGCAAATCCATGACCGCAGCCTTCCTTTTCGAGAACTCCCGCCGTTTCAGACACTCAAAGGATGCCGATCTGCCGCAGCACGATGACAGCAATCAAAAATATCACCAGGGCGATCATGAGCGGAATCATCCTGAAATTCATGCAACTTTCTCGTCAAACGACTTTCTTGTCGAAGCCATAAACCCGTTGTCAATGGTCTCTTGTCAAAATAACATGAAACCCTGGCAGTGCGATTTTGAAGAGTCCCCAATTTTCACATAACGGTGTTCCCAAAAAAATAGTGGACCGCCCAGTAATAGCCACTCTCCAGAAAAAGGCCGGACCCACGTGGATGTGTGTGTGTGTGTGTGTTCGTTGGTGTTTGTTTTTCAAAGATAAATCCCAAGTCATAGGAAGCGAGTCGTTTGATTGCGCTTTCACCGGGTCCCCGACTTCTTCCAAAGACCGAAGTCTGGCCAGGCAAGTCCTCAGATGGCGACATGGGCGCCCCAGTTCGCCCTCTTTCAAGGGTAACTTTAACTTTTTGGTTAAAACAAATAAAACTTTCCCTATTAAACCCACAGGGAAACACAACCCAGTTTGGGGTTACCCTTTTTTTTGGACCCACTGTTTCAAATGGGTGTGTCTTCTTTTGAGGGTCCCTTCTTTTTCTGGCAAAAAAGTCTCCCTAAAAGGAGACACTCCCAGGTCCCGAATGGGTAAACCCTTTCTTTGTGGCTTGAAGGGAAACATGGAACCAACCATTTGTTGGGGTCCCCCAATGACGCACCCAAAATGCGAATTAACAACCCTCTGGGACAGGAAAAATGGGGATTCATGTCCACCACTTTTGAGGAGTGGTTCCCTGCTAAGATGTTCGTCCCCCACGGATTCCCATCGAAATTCCATCGGAAATTCATTGTTTCACCCCGGGAAACTCGTGATGCAGCACCAGGCGCCAAAGGAGGACAAGTAAGTTCCCCAGTCTCTGCCTGCATCGCGCGTGCCAATTTTTGCCCCGTCTCCGCATGGGACGGAGGGTCGAATCACTTTATGCATTCAGCTGCCCTTCTGGAGTTTGACTCTGGAAAGGTTGCGGTTGCAAGAATCCCAAAGCGCGTTGCAAGCGTTTCCACAGTGCGTGGCAAGCAAGAATGACAATTACCAAACAAGTCCGACTCTGATAGCCAACTGGGAGCAAAAAGGGGAGAAAAACGGAACACCCAATTTAAGCCAAATCGTCCCATGAAAACTGCCGAACCTCTCCGCCGAGAACGTCGATCGGATTGCCTTCCGTGGGCGTGAGAAGCTGGGGATTCTCGTTGGGCTCCTCCCGCGCGATGCCCGCACGGGTGCTCTGCGCCTTCGGAAAAGAAAAAAAGAAGAAGAAAAAAAAAAAACACGCGGACTACCTCAAGGTCATCCGACGGGTCCGAGGGTTGGTGTCCCTTGCGATCATCCAGGGGATAGGTTACAATGTTTTGAGGATCTCACTTTCATTGACCTCAATTACGTGGTTTGGGGGTCAATATGATTTCTGTGAAAAAGATCACAATCTCGCATCCAACACAATCGCCGGCGTTTCAGCGCATGGGAAGACCCTCACGCGCCAATACCTCTGGAGGTGACATGTCCTGCCTCGGCTTGTGTCAAGACCTTGGAGGAGGCTGAGCTTCTGTTCCGAACGCAAAAAGGCCCTGAGTGCCACACGTACAGCGTCATTGTCACGGAGCCCACAGCGACTTCCTCCTCCTCCTCTTCGAACAGCGCGTGTACTAAGAAATGCCGAAAACACAAGACCATGGACAAAGGCCAGCATCAGTAGGTGGCTTATCCCAGAAGTGCTTTCGCGTTCATTCATCCCAACTGGCACGGGATTTTGTCCATGCTGCTGCTCATTCGCAACATGTTCCCCTCCTCCTCATGCCCCCAGCACTTGATGTCGCTGGGGCCAATGGTCACTGCATCCAAGTCCCGAGCGACCCTAGCGCAAGAGAGGCATGCCACTGTTCCTTGTAATCCTTGTGTCCTTTGTGCCCGTCCGTTGTGTCCTCTGCGTCCTCTATGTTCTTTGTGTCTTAGCCCTTTGTGTCCGTCTTTTGTGTCCTGTGTGTCCAATGTGTCCTTTGTGTTCTTTGCGTTATTTTTCGTCTGTGTCCTCTGTGTGACCTTTGTGTCGGCTGTGTCCTTTGTGTCATTTTTGTCCGTCCTTTGTCTCTTTTGTGCCCTCTGTGTCCATTGTGCTCTTGGTGCTCTTTGTGTCCCTCCGATGTGTCCTCTGCGTCCTCTACGTCCTCTGGGTCCTTTGTGTCTTCGGTGTCTTTTGCGTCCTCTGTGTTCTTTGTTTCTCTTGTGTCCCTTGTGCTCTTTGCGTCCCCTGTCCTCTCTGCTGTTTGTGTCGTTTGTAACATGCACCCTTTGTATCCATCCGTTGTCCTTTGTGTCCTTTGTCTTCGTCCCTTGTGTCCTCTTTGTGCCGTCTGTGTCGTTGTGCCCTTCAAGTCCGCCCTTTGTGTTCTTTGTGTCCTTTGTGTCCATCCTTTGCATCCTCTGTGTCCTGTGTGTTCTCTGTGTCTTGTGTGTATGTGTCCTCTGCGTCTTCTGTGTGCTTTGCGTCCTTTATGCCCTTTGAGTCCTTTGTGTCCTCTTTGTTCTTTGCGTCCTCTTTGTTCTTTGCGTCCTTTGTGTTCTGTGCGTCCGTTGTGTCCTGCGTGTCCTCTGTGTCCTCTGTGTCCTCTGTGTCCTCTGTGTCCTCTGTGTTCTGTGTCATGGTTGAAAAAAGTACAGGCCTTTCTTAGCCCCTGTAAAAGGGCGACACAAGGCGGCACCAAGGTCCAACAAAGGACTTGTTTTTTCTTACAAACCCCCATGCGTGTGCTCTGTCTCCTCTGCGTCCTCTGTGTTGGTTACATGCTCTCGTCTGTGTCCTTTGTGTGCTTTGTGTCCTTTGTGTGCTTTGTGTCCTTTGTGTGCTTTGTGTCCTTTTGTGTGTGTGTGTGTGCGTGCGCTAATCTTTCTTGTGTCCTTTGTGTCCATGTGCTTCGTGCCTTTCGTGTTTGCGGACTCTTTGTGTTGTGCTTGTGTCCTCGTTGTTTTCTTTTTTGTGTCCTTGTTGTGTCCTTTTGCTAACCTATGTTTGTCCTTGTTGTGCCAGCTGGCTGGGTATGGCAGTTTCTCATGAGAGCACGGCTGGCATATAGCGGGCAAACAAGACTTGTTCTCCCGGCCTTTCTAAGTACTTCTTGAGCTCCAGATCGAAGCTCCCCAGGAAAGTCGAACCCATCATCCTTTGTTCATGTTCCACGACTCTGCCAAAAGGAAACATATCTGGGATGAAGACCAGGGCTCTTGAGATGCGTTGACAACATGTCTCTTAAGGAAGGCTTTGTGCGCAGGAAGCCGAGGGCATACAATTCCTTTGGAGGCCCAGGAATTTACATGAACGACGGCCGAGCAGCTCATGATGGTGGAGGCTCACCGACAGAGTGCATGATGTGGTTGGCATCTTGATTCTCGGATACACCTGCGCTGACCAGCCTTTATTTGTTGGAACCCGTGCTTAGAGGGCGCAAACAAACGGCCGATGTCCTTTTGGCTTCCCTCTGAACCGGGAACCCGTTTCAAGGCTTCTCTATTTTGGCCTGTCTTATTTCGGGAAAACTGTTTGGTTGGATTTAGAAAAGTAGAAGGAGAACCGCCAATTTGGGAGGTCCACTAAAAATAAGACACGCCCATTTTGAGACACAACAAAACATGTCTCCAGTTCCGTCGAGCAGCCATGCGCCAGTTGAACACGGCTTTGCCATCCTGGGAGTTGAAGTGAACCTCAAAGCAGCCGACAATGGATCCCGTTCATCTGACCAAAGAGTGTAACTGAGGGTCCCTGAAAAACCATTAGAACCATGGTTGCGTTCAAATAACTACCATTGTTCATCAATGAGGGTTGAACCCTAGGGGGGTTCACCGCATTTCCCAAATCCACAGTAGATCAATTTACGAGTTAGTGTCCATTGAAACGATCACCGTCTGAGGTTCTGAAAAGGGAAATTTGGCTGAAACAATCTGGTGCATCGGATGGGCCTTGAGAAACTCACCAAGGGTTCCACTTTTTGACTACCCCCACAATGACTTAAACCCAGTGGGTCATGTACCCCAAAAAGGGAACCCCTGGGTAGTCTATTTGCAGGTGGTCAAAAAATAGAACCCTGCGCCAAGCAGCATCTGTCTCTTGATATGCGCTGTACTGACCCTCATATTCCTTGCAGTCCAGCTGAGTCTTGATCTGCACGTTCGTGGATTCTTCGTTCCTCGGCTGCGGCTCGCAAAGCCCACTTACATGACTGTCAACTAAGCGTCAGTGTGTTGCCAACTGAGATTGCATTTTGGTGAGTGGTGACTTGCTGGGTGTGACTGGTGAGCAATCATCTCCTAATGGTGACTCGCTGGGTGTGACTCGTGTATTCAAATCCCCTGTACTTTTGTAGATGACAGCGGTGTCTTTTTTGAGGGTACCCCTTTTATAAAACCAAGTTGAGGGGGTCCAACCGTTTTTTTTTTTTTTTTTTTTTTTTTTTTTTTTAAAAAATGCCATCCGTTGCTCACATCGAGTACTTTTCGTCGCGCCGAATCCGAGCAGCATCAGCTTCACGCCGCTGGCGGCCCATATCACCAGACGAACTTCGAGCCTTCGCATGTGGTTACCCCCAATGCTCCCACCGCGCCCTCAAGAGAAATGCTGAAGTGAAGCACTCCTCCTTGAAAAAATAATGTAAACATGGAAACTATGAAGGATGCGCTGATTTTGCTGAGTGGGACGCTCTGTCTGGGGCGGTCTGGCCAGAGTCGACGGCTTCACAGAGGAGGCATCGGCCGAGTCAATCATCTCCACCCACCTTGAGACATTCCAAGCTGAACACGTGATGCTGCGCGGTGCTTTTACTTTCCTCGAGTGGGGCTGGGAGTCACCCAAATTCAAACGGGGGGGTCTGTCTTTCGGCTTGCAAGGACGCTTCGGGATTGGGCGGCTCCGGTTCACAGTGGAGGCAAAGTCAAAGCCACGCAGAACATGCGCTGGAACGTCGGGCAAAGCGACATCGCCGTGTGGCCGATGCTCAAATTCCATCAAATTCCAAAAGAAGGATATGTGAGTCAAATTGAAACCACCAAACCGCAGGTTCAATCGTCCTTTCCATTCACCAGGCCCCATTTTGGGGGTTCATTGACCAGCCCCAGGCCCTCGCGAACGGCGCGGCTAAGGCGGCCGCATCTCGATGCTCCCGCGATTGGTCCCTGGATATTCCGAAGAATACAAGGGCCTGGCCATGAGCTTCAATCCAAGCGAAAACTGCGAGGAAAACTGGAGAACACCCCAAAAAAACGTGGGCGGGGTGTCCTTTGGAGCTCCCTTGAAAACCTAGCACCCAGAAGGGTACCATCAAAGAACGGGGCACCTTCCAACACCCATCCCAAAACATGTGGTATTGCCACGTCAGACTCCACGCGTTCAACGCGCCACGCATCTACGCGTTAGTCGGAACCTGCTCGATGAGTCCCAGCCTATTCTCGATCGGCACCAGTTGAAGCCTACCAAGAACATCGAAACTGCTCAGACAGTCAAGGTTCCCTCATGTCAGTTTCCCTCTAATTGGTGGTTTGGATTGGTGGTTTGGATTGGTGGTTAAGGAGGGGTGTCCCATCTACCCGCTATAAGAACCAGGGGTTCATCCCCAAACCAGCAATCCAAACCACCAATTAGGGGTCACCTGATAATGGGGAGCGTCATGAACACCGAGTCACTTTCAAAACCTGGTACTAAGGGGATACTAAGGGACCCAAAAGGGCAGATATCCGCGCCGATTTATCGCTGGGATTGTCCCTTAACCCGCACTTCCCCGGGCTTTGAAGGTGACGCAGTCCTTGGGCCGATTCAAGTGACACCAAAAGAAACCAATGGTGCGAAACTGAAAAAATCCGCCCAAAAGGAAGCTGGAGAACCGTCCTGTTCGCGCACATTCAACTGAGTGTCAAGCATGGGGCTGTTCCCCTCCAAAAGTGACGAATCCCCACTAGAACCAGCGACACCCCCATATTAACAAACAGGGGCTTATTAATCCGGGGTCAACATTAAGTTGCCAAGACAGCGAGACTGCCACCAGTCCTGTTCACCTCCTGCCAATGTCGGGAGTGCCATCGATCTTCCAAATCGATCACTGTACCTGGCCAAAGAGGCCCCCCCAAAAAATACCTGCGCAGCTTCCGGCTTGCCAATCTCACGGAGTCAACAATGATTCATGAGGTGGATATGACGCCTGGTTTCAAGGAAAAGGGGCTACACTACACATTATGTGCAGCCAGAACAGGTCAACGCGGGAAGTTATGAACGACATGCATTCATTAACTCATTCCCTTCTACAAGTGTTTGAGGCAACACGGGCCACTCAGGCCCACAAAATGATCGCTGAGTCCCGATCTGCAAGAATTTCCCTGGTGACAATTGACTGCGCTGTGGGTAGATGCCAGTTTATAGCGTTCCTTGCCTACAACACTTACAGTCTTGATTCACCTGGTCTGACCACTCTGAGGTTGATGGGTGTAGAAGTCTCTGGGATTGTGCACAAGCAAAGTTATTTCAGTCCCACGCTCCATTTTTTTAAGTGGAGTTCGGGAGAGTTCCGAACTTACTCGCAGGTTTCTGAACAAAAACAATGATCACCCAAAATGCGTGGTTTCCAGTTGGTTTTCCTGATGCCAAACGGATGTCTCGTTTTTGAGGGTACCCCTTTGGTTGGATTTTGTTCGGGAAACCAAAAGGAGGGGGTCCGAATCCCTGTTTTCAGACAACCCCAAATGAGAAAATCCGTGGTTTCCCTTTGAATCAACCAACTTGCTGGCTCTCCGCAGGGAATGAAAAGTGGCATCACCCAAACTTGTTTAATTTACTTGGATTCCTTTGAGAGAGTCCCCAAAACCGGTTCCCCCCATTGAGAAGAAGTTAATTTCCCTATTGCACCACCAAGCCAATGGGAACACCTCACCCCGCACCCCCGCCGTCCGGCACCTCCGATCACCCGATCCGAGAGCGCCAGGTCCTCGAGGGATTTCACGGTGACCTCGCGCGATCGAGCGAGAGGGCGAATTTCCCCCTGGAAGACATGGGTGGAATCGTTTTGGCTGCTTGGCCGGTTGATTCGTTGGCTGGTTGGGTTTTGTTGGTCGGTTTGGTTGGTAAGTTCGTTTGGTGGTCTTTTTGGGAGGGTAGCTGAACAAAGGACAATTGCGGGACAAACCATCATCTCGGGGCCCCCTATTTGGAACAGGAAAGCAGTGACAAGCTGGAGGTCTTTCCCGGTTGGCCCCTAGCGGGAAAAACCGGCGCGAGGGCTTGATGAAAAGTGCGTCCCAAAAGAAAACCATCAGTTGGATTGTTCATTTCGGGGTAGCAGCGGGCACTGACGCCGGAAGATTCACAGGTTCTTAGTGGCAAGGCTGCAGTGTCCAGCGGGTTTGTTTAACCATGCTTCTTTGTTTCCTGAGGGTGGAAAAGAAAAAGTGCGAGAAACACGAGGAATGGGTGGGAATTCCCTATGAAGCACACGGGGCTCTGAGAGCTCCCGGCGTCTCTGGTAGCTGAAAGGAAGAAGGGGGGTGCTTTCAGCTCAAATGGCTCAAAATGCTCCGGGCCCCATCCTGCATTAAAACAGTATCCATTTGTTCGCCAGAGCACCTCCAACCGAGAATCGTGAGGAAATTGAATGTCGCGGGCTTCGATTCGATGAAAGTCCGGTGTGTTGGTCTGCATTTGACACATATTCCTCATGGAGATCGAGTGCTCCCCCACTTGGATGTCCAAGTATGGGTTGGGCAGTCCGCTGCCCGCGTCGATGCACACGGCTTTCACAAAGTAGAGCCGGGCGCGGATCCGTGGAGGAATGTGCTCGGGGTCCCGGTAGCGCTCGAACATGGCGTCATTGGAGAAGGCGAAGCTGTTCAGCGTGGGATCCAGCCCAAAGGAGGACTTCAACCTCCAGTCCTGGTCGGACACACCGTCAACCACTGTTTCAACCACCCTCTTTGGGGTTAACACCCCAAAGAGGGAAACCCAAGGTTTGCGTGTTGCTTTCTTTTTGGCTTCTTTGTTTGCTTGTTTGCTTGCTCGCTTGCTTGCTTGCTTGCTTGCTTGCTTGCTTGCTTGCTTGCTTGTTTCGTTTGTTTGAACCCCTTAACCCATTGTCCTCCGAGGCCTGGTCCCCTTCGTCCACCTCACTAACTGTTCCCCCCACGGCCAGCGCTGCACCTGACATCTCCCCCGTGGTGGAGACGTCGTCGTCGTCGTCCATGTCGCCATCGTCAGAGTCCTTCCCGGTGCCATCCCAGCCATCCACGAGCTTGAACTCACACTTCACAAAGCCAAAGCTCTCACCTAGGGTGATGCTGACAAGAGCAAGCAGGCGAAGATCTGACAAATTGGGGGAGGGGGGGGAGCTCAAGTGTCCGGAAGTTGAAACGACCCCGGCCTGGGCGGTAGTTCCAGTCACGGGTGTCGTGCCGAGGAAGCACGTCCTGGTTCCTGCTGAGGCGAAGGGACTTGAACCAAAAGTCGCTCTGAAAGAGCTCATCGCTGCAATCCTCCAACTTGCCCTGCACGGCCTTCCGGGCTTGGACTGACTTCACCATCGCCCCCGGCCGCGGGGAGAACGAGGCCGGCTGCTGCATGTTCAGGCTCCGGCAGGGCATGGTGGGAGCCGGCCGGCGCAGCCCCTCCCGCAGGGGCTGCGGCAACCCGGCGGGGTCGATGAAGGGCTCATCTGCGTCGACGATGGGCGGCCGCGGCTCCTCCTTGCGCCGCCTCTCCATCTCCCTCCGCAGCTCTTCGTCGCTCGACTGCTGGAATTTCTCCTCAGGCAAGGAATTTGGGCCTTGACGTGATTCCTCCCCGGTCACAGCTCCCTTTGTCCAAAAAGAGTTGGCCCGAGCCGCAAGGCAACGGTCTTCCCTCACAGCCCAGTTCCATGTTCAACCATGGGTGTCCTTTTTGAGGAAAAATAGATGGGGTTCCCTGCTAGTTGCTTGAACCACGTAAACCAGGGCCCTCTAGTTTTCAACCAAATCAACCAAGGACGCCGTTCAACCCACTCCTTGTCGACCGCTCTGTCCTGGGACTTCCTGGCCAGCTGCGCAATGTGCGCCTGCTGGGCCTCGTAGGACTTGCTCAAAGTCACGCCCTCCAACCAACAGCAAGGCAGCTTGTCCTGGGCCCAACCGGATGGTCTCACTGGCCCATGGTGGTGCTCCCTGTGGTTTCAAAGGGAAAATCGCCCCAAAAAAAGCACGCCCACCCCCCCACAACACACAGTCTCCTTTGACGGGTTGAGGAAAACCAAAAGTCAACCAAATCTCCATTTGGCTGTGTCATGTTTCAGGGGACCCCACTGTGGGGTTGCTCACTTTCCGGGAGACCAACAGGAAACCACTACCTTCGGGGCTCCGAAACCCAAAAAGAAGACACACCCATTTTGCCCCAAAGACTTGACGTTTGCACTTCTTGGCCGCTCTCCTCCAAGGTGACCAGCACCTCCCCCACAGAGTACGCGCCGTAGCCCACCGAGGCCCCCATGGAGCTGGGGGGTTGCGTGACGCGGATCACCAAGTAGGGCTCCAGCAGCCCCTTCTCCGGCAGGAAGCAGTGCAGCTTCCCCGCCTGCAAAAAGTCGAAGTTCATGGCCTGGCCCAGGCAACAACCGGAAGCCGGTTGCTCACCCAGGGTTGCGCAGGTTTTAGTCTTTGTTCCATTTACCAACCGGCCATATTCGGTCCATGTTTTTGAGCCACGGCCATATTTGTCTGGCCACCCTTTGAAAGCCAAGCTGGAGGACTCTGTTCCCGGATTTCTCGAGTCGGATTTTTGCATCCCCTCCTCCGTGCCCAGAGATTTCGCGTTCGAGATCCAGGGCTTCATCTTCTTGTTGTGATCCATGTGATGCCCCTCCCCGAGGCGGAACTCCAAGCTCCGGCGCTTGGGGTCTGCGCCTGAGCGAGTGCGCGAGCCATCGCGCGAGCGATCGCGCGAAGGATCTCTGTGCTGAAAGCTGTTGTTTCCAAGTCACATTCCAGGAAAAGCATATGTGGCCTTTACAAACGCAGGGGGGGAAACAAAAACCTTGGAAGCAAAACAAAACGGGGAAAAAAGATGGGCGACAAATGGGCTTGGGGCCCACCAATCGATGTTTTGGATCGCTCCGCCTGTGCCCGACTCCAAGAAGGAGCTCACCTCCACCGAGACCACGGGATTGGAGATGTGCACGGTGCCCCCCGCCGCGCCCAGCGACTGGAGCCGCGGGATGGGCAGCATGTCCCGAAGGCCCAGCAGCGAGAAGTGGAGGGTGGCCCGCCGCAGCCGGCAAAAGCTCATCCTTGGGGCTCGAGTATCCCAACATCTGGGGGGCTCGTGCTTTTTTCTTCTTTTTTTTTTCTACGGGAGCCCCCTAAAACTGCGGGGTTTGCTGTTGGCTTCCTTTAAACCAACAATCCGAAAGGGGCTCCCTATTTTGAGACAGACCCATGTCCAAACAACAGCCCTAACATGTACTGAAAAAGATCGCCTGTTGTTCTGCTCAAATCCGAGTTGTGCAAAACAAAGACCTGGTCCAGCCCATGGTATTAACAAGCATACGGGGGTTCCTGTTGTTGAAGACACCCCAAGAATGTGTGACCCCTTCTGCAAACAAAGAAGTTCCGTTTTCGCTTGTAGGAAACACTCATTCTGGTTTCACCCAGCGAGAATGCCTGTAAAGCCCAGTTCTCCTTGTATTTTCAGGGTGCCTGGCAGCAAAAAATCCAGGGGAACCCTCTAAGCGTCCATAGCCCATGGGCTCCGCCCACAGCCGCCCCTGCCTACTGAAGGTCTCGGGCGGCTCGGGCCACATGCCTCTCGGCGCCAGCGGCGGCTCGTGGCGGTGCTTGAAGAGCATCAGCTCGAAGGCGATCAGAACGGAGCCCACGTGCTGGCCCCCACCTCCGGAGAAAAAACAGGTGAGCCATGCCTACCGGGGCATGGTTCCCTTAACAGGATGGATCCTTACCAGGATGACCATCCTATTGGGTAACCCTAGAAGAAGGGGAACATGTTTTTTGTGGTGTTAGGCTGATGTTCCACTGTGCCAGCTTGTTTTTGGGCTTCACCGACGTCTGGGTTGTGCCGAACTTCCACGCCTTGGTCTCCGAAAAGCTTGATCCACTGGGGCGTGAGGTGGTAGGGCTCCCACCGCCCACCCTCGTCCTTCCTACGCATGTGCGAGTAGACGCACACGGCCTGCGCCAAAGCCAGGGTCGAGGAGGCAATACCCCGCGGCAAACTAGGCGCTTTAAACACCTGCTGAGAAGAAACAGCCTCATGGTGTTTCTTTTCTTTCAGGCTTTCCAGAGGAATTGATTGCACCAGGTAGTGTTGTCACCCCCCCCTCCCCCAAAACAAAAAAAGGAAATAAAAAATAAAAATAAAAAAGAACCGCTCCCAGAACAAAAAGATATCATTGAAACAAAACACGCTCCCAAAGGCGAAAAAAAATGAAAACACGGCGCCTTCCCCAGGTCGGTGTTGGTCACTTGCCCGCCCTGCCAGAGGCTCACCGTCACGGGCTCCGTGGCCGGCGCCTCTCGGGTGGAGTCCGAGCACAGCAGAATCTTCAGCTCCACCGGCTGCATCCACTGGGGCCTGACCAAATCGACGGGACCCCAGTGGCAGGTCAGGATCAAACCCAGATCAAATCGTCCTAGTCCCGCGGCCGCAGCTATGTATGGTTGGGACTGTCCCTTACTAACGTTCGTCTACCCGAGTTTTGAGTGTGACTCAGTGGGGTCAAAACCTAAAAACGCACCAACCGAAAATGGAGCACTAGGAAAAGGGATCAAACCCACCAGCGCACAAAGAAAAAAGTGCCGTCCAAGCTTGGGCCATAGTTTTGACCCTACAAACCTCGGCCTGATACTTGTGAAGCACGTCCATCGCCGCTGGCTTCCTTTGCCCCTTGACATCAAACGAAAACTTCAAAGTGCCAAAACCGGTGATGTGTTTGAACCACAACAAAAGGAAAGGTCTCATTCGCATGATCGCTTCTCCGGCGAAACCACAGGACGACTGCGATGTTCCGGCCAAAGAAGGCCCACCAGTCCCCCCCACCCCCCCTCCCACCTCATGCCATGGACACTTAAGAGTCTATTTGGCCGCCTGGAACCCTAAAAAACATACACTACATGAAGCAGCCTGCAAAATCGACCCCATGTCCATCATATTCCCCCCCCCCCCTCTGCCGGCGACACCCCCCCCCCCCCCCATCCCCCAGCCTGGGCCCGGGCACCGCCTCGGTGCGCTTGGAGGTGCCACCGCAGCTCACCGTCAGCCCGATGTCCCCGGCCTCCGCGTCGTGGCGCAGGGCGCTGTGCTGCAGCCGCCGCGCGCCGAAGCAGTAGGCCCGCAGCAGGTACACCATGGGCTTCACCGGCTTCCGCACGCACCGCGCCTCAGGAAACCCAGGATTCTTTTTGGTTTGGAGGTGAAGCTGAATCGAAAACGTGAGTTGACTTGGTGGCTTCAACTCAAATTCAAAACAAACAAACAAACAAACAAACAACACAACACAACACAACACAACACAACACAGCACAGCACAACACAACACAACACAACACAACACAAACAAGGTCCCCGCCACAAAATGCTACAACTGCAAGTAGCAAGAGCTTTGCATTTGGGAACCGTGAACGCTGATGTCACACACACCCAAATTGACCTTGAGGCCAACAGCACCCTGTCCATACCAAAAAAGCACCCTGCCACTGCCACAGCACCGTGCTAGGCACCCTGCCAGAATTCCTAGTCACACCCAGCAACCTGCAAGCGTACTTGCCAGCACCCCGCAATGCTCCGTGCAACTCCAGCCAGGATTGTACGTTGCACTCAAAACCGTCAAGCCTTCAGCCATCTCAAAAAAGAAATGGAGGTCCAAATCTGCATTTGAAACATACCCGAACCAGAAAGCAGAGCTAACGGGTACCAAAAAGGCTGCCGAGCCACGTCATCCGCATTCTTGCGCGTGGTCTTCACAGCCAGCAGAATGGATGGGCTGAACCCGTCCTTCACAGCCTGCCAAGGTTTGCGTTGCCCTCCGGTTGTGGCTGATTTGTGTGGGGCGTTCATGTTTTTCACCCTTCTCGTCCCTCCCAAAACAAACCCCAAAAAATAAAACACACCCTCCCCCCAAAAAAGCAAGAGATGTGTCACTCTCAACATGAGAGTAAAGCCCCCCAACAATCTTCCCGACACTCCTGCAGCGGGATGGAGCGCGGCTTCACCGGCTCGTAGGGGTCGCACTCCGGGAACTCGGAGATGCTGCACTTGGTGCTGGCCACGCGCTGAGGGCCTCAACCAAAAGCTGGAGCCGGGCCAGGGGCTTCCACTGAGAAGAAACCACCTCAGGCCTTCTCTGCGTTTTTTTATTTTGGATTATTTTTGCTTGTTTTGTTCTTTTTTGGTCTTGTTGTTTCCTTCGATTCAACTAGGGTTTCCCACAGGTTTCGGAGAGGTTGTTTTTGACACAAAATGTAAGCAAACCCTGCCTTGCAAGTACCCGGAGGTGAACAAGGTGATGGTGAGGCAGGGCTGCGATTGCCGGTCTTCCTGAGCTCCAAAGCCCCTTGCCAGCTGTCGGTGTCTCTCAAAGTCGTCGAATTGGCTGTTTCTCAAAATTGGGGGCTTATCTAGCTGGTGTCCGTTCCCTCTAAAGCCCAACTGGGGCCCCCTATTTTGGAACATGCTTGGCTTGTGGGTCTCCTTTCGATCCAACCGAACGGGGTCCGAAACCATGAGAAACGCCCGCCTTGGCACCCGCAGGCCAAGGCTCAGGAGTCATCTGGACCAGTGTCTCCACCCGCCCCGCTCGCTCGCTGAAGCTAAACGTCTGCATGCCCAGCGCATCTCCTGCGGTCTTTCTCCAAGTAACCCTTTGACTTGTTAAACACATGACAAGCCAGAAGTCAACATCATGGTAATCTAGTAATCACTACGAATATGGTACACCAGCATACACCAACATGGGTAAGACACCAGCCGTCAATCTCGCACAACACTTTCCCCTCTTTATTAGAAGCTAGGACTCCTATAGCTTCCAGCTATCCGGGGAAAAAGGAACAAGGACAGCTTGGGCAAACCAGTTTGGGCCTTCCCCAAGGCCCGAGTTGCCAACCCAAATCGGGACTAAGGCAAAGGCCTGCTGTGAGCCATGCCACGTCCACGATTTCCCCAGAGGAAGAAACATGCGGAAGAGCCTTGCCACTGACTCTTGGGCGTTTCTTTGAGTGTCAGGGACAGCTTTGATTTGAGTCAAGAGGTTCCCTTCACGGAAAGCCTCCGACTTTGGAGTACGCTCCTTGGAGGTTGCTGTCCTCAAACTCATCACGGCCTGGCGCAAACGTGTGTCTCGGAGCAAAGCAAACTCTGGTTCCTTGTTGAAGCAATAGTGGGATATAAAATGGGTAGTTGAGGGAAACCAAAAGGAACCAACTCTTTTAGGGGACCGGACCACTATTTTGAGAACCCTAAAGTGAAGGGGCTTGAACATGGTTTTCTCACTGCCCCACATCTCCAGGCCTTCTGATGGATCCTGTAGTTGCTCAGTGTCATACGAAACCTTGGACTCGACATGCTTTCTACACAAACTGCTCAAAAGGGGAGGCGATTGGACATTCACACCACCCAAACAAACCTCAAAAGGCCATATCTTGCAATGAATTTGTCCCAGAGGCCCACTTCGTAGTGCTGCTTTTCGAGCCGAATCCTATCTCCACCTGCCAGGCAACTGTCACATCAAGCTTGCAGCCCATTCTGTCGCCAAGGCCTGACACTGCCGACCTTCTGCGCCGGTGACCTCAGAACGGTCCAGAAACAACAAGGGTCTTCTGACCATCGCAGCCCCGCCATGTACACGTCTGCCAAGATGGAGATCTGTACCATGGCCGGCTCGTTCTCGAGCCGCGCGGGCACGGACTTCGCGGGTTGGAGCTCCTTCGCTAAGTGCTTGGCTGTGGTGATTGCCACTATCCATGGAACTCTCTCCGGTCTCAAAGGGCCAAGGCCAAGGCCCCCTCAACGGGGTAACGGGGAAGGCCCCCAGCAACGGAACGCGCAGACACTTGAAACGCTCCTCTTCGGGATCCAACGGCTCGACGCTCCCCGACAAAAGGAGGCGACCTGGCCCGGGCGGGGTCAAATCCGAGTTTGTCACGCCGCAAACATGCATGCGTCGGCCTTTGAAGATGTGCGCGTTCGGCTCCTGTGTGCACGTCCACCGGGCAAAGCGCGAAACAAACGCTGAAAATACATGCAAAGACCAACTGATTCGCAGACAAACTGTGGGCTTGGTCATGATGTTGATCGCATGACCATGATGTTGCCCGAACTATCCGATTCCGCACACATTGTAACATCATCGTGTGTTTGGGTGTGTTTGTGTTTGTGTGTTTGTTGTTTGGTTGATGTTTGTGTGTAGGGGGGGGGTGGACATGCCCGAAGCAGACGGGATGGGCCCAGCCTTGTCACCAGAGGCTTGCAGGTCCTCCGATGGCGGCCCGTTTCGCCCCACCCGTATGGCCCCATAGAAGGCATGACTCCGGAAATCTGAGAGTGCGTCATGCCTTCAATCACCGGAAACCTATCTGCCACTCGGCAGGTCACACTTGGCGCCTCTTGGAAACCAAGCTCGAAGCTTCCGACTCAGGCTGGGAATGACCACTTCTGTGATACAACAGAAAGGGCTTCCCAAAGACTATTTTGTTAAGAGAAAGGGGGATTCCCTTGTATCACAGAAGTGAGGAGAAACCCCTTGATCCCACAACCCTTCCGAGCTTTCAGCCAAGCTGCGGCCTCTGCTGAATCCCAGCCATAGAGGTTGAACCTGAGAGATTCGGAAGTCGTAAGTCGCGAACCCGGCGAAACGCTTTGGACAAGCCGCCAGCGAGGCGGCAACGGATGACTGTTGAGCTCGCTGAAGGAAAAGAGGCCCTGTGCCATCAGCTCCTGAGATCACAGCACTGCACTTGACCACCGAATTCATGCTATGCAGGTGCGCGACGTCGGGTGAAAACCAATTGCAGGTCCACAGCTTGAGAATGATGGTGTCCTGCACGCATGGAAAAACATGCATCGAGCTGCGAAACATGCTCGCTAAGCTGTCTGTCCTCATAAACAGGGGTGACAACCGGTATCTGCAGGCACTCGTTGAAGGTGTACTGCTTCACATTTCTGCCTCCAGATCAATCAAGCCTGCGGATTTGGGGGGACGTTGCCCTTGAAGGGCAAGGCTACCCTCCCAAATGGGACCCCTGTGAATCAACAAGGCTCTTTTTTCTCATCCGGTCAGTGGCTTAGGAAAAAAACACATTTCCCCTTCAAATGCGTTCCCCAAACTTTTCGCGCAAGATTTACTTCGGGCTTTCTCAGCCCTCTGCACTCCCCATGGCTTGCCACTTGCCGAGCCATCCGAGGCGCCGATGGAAGTCTTCACCAAGCACCCCGCGAACTCCACCGTGACGTAGGGGCTGGGCGCCTCGCAACGCGCATGCGCTCGAAATGCGCTCGAACCGACCAGCGGCGAGCAAGCACTGAGCCGGCGACGCCGCCCTGGTCCTGCAGGTCCTGCAAGCAAAGCTCCGGAAAACAGCAGCCACCAAAGCCATAGGGTGTCGTTTAAGTCGCTTGCCATGACATCGCGAAGTCATAAAAGATGAGACGCGAAATCGGAGGCTCCTCCACCCGGATCAGGTTCAAGCGCACATAGTGCGCGCGTCCTCTCCGCCAACATTGCAAAACAGATCTTGCAACCAAAGCTCTTTCCAGGACTCTTGACAAAAGCCATCCTACTTGGGTGTATATTTTTTGAGTTGATAACCCTTTTGGGCGGTTTTAAAGGCAAACCAAACGGCAAACCGTAAGCCACCCATTTTAGGGCTCCGACCGACAAAACGAAAGACGAGGCACACCGGGTTTTGTCACCGATCCGACCTTGAGGGGCATCCACCGAAGTGGTCAGCACCGCAGATTCCAGGCCATCTTCCTCATCTTTCTTCGCCTACACGGTTTCCAGAATCGGTTCCATATGGATCCGCATTCCCCAAACCAAGTCAACAAGGCAAACAAAAAAAGGCCAAGCCACCCTCCAACCAGAAAACTAGCCCAGTTTCCCAAAACTCGACCAAGACGACCAGACTACCAAGCCAGACTATGCCAAAAGTTGGGGCTTGATCAAGATTCCCTTCCGGCCATGCTAACTTGGCTGACTTGTCCAGTATGCTTGAAATATCAAATATCTGTTGTTTGGCCAAGCTAACTCGGCTAACTTGTCCCATGTGCTTGAAATATCAACTATGTGGCCCCAAATGACCATGACTAACCTTTTTCATTTGGTTCCAAGAAAAAAAAGTGGCGCTCCAAAGGTCATCCCATGTAGAGCCGTCGGAGCATTCGATCGGCCTGCGCCTCCGGCTCCAAGCTCTCCGAGGTCTCAGGGGCGAGTTGGGCGAAGCCGCATGGATCGAGCTCCCGCATCGGCTTTGGGAGGAGCTGAAGCGGATGTGTGTCTGTCTGTGTTTGTTTTGGTGAGTTGGAACTGTGTGTCTGTTTTTTTTTGTCAATTTG